TGCATCGTAGAGACTGTGATTTATCATTCCACTACCATGTAATTTTACCAAATAAGATCATGAGAACGCACAAATACGCCACTGTATTAGACTAGACTGTAGAACAGTGCAAAATAAAGAGCAATAGAGAGGCCGCACTGAAGGATCCAAACTTTGATTTTTCCCCGTTTTCAGGCTTGAATTTTAGAGAAATGAACTTTTAAGCGAGACAGATTTTTTTTCGTTGGTCACAAGGAACACCTTGATAATTTCACTGGTGTTGTTTTCGTCTTTCCCATACTCAGATAGGGCTGTAGGATGTACTTCGCAAAGTAGAATTCAAATACAAAAAATTAAAGAGAAATAACAATGGAATAATGAATACCTTATTCGATGGGTTAAGAAATAATACGAGTAGACATTTTGCTTATTGCTCGAATTTTTCATCGTCTCTTCGGGCTTGTAAATATACTACGCAACTCGCAAAATATCCCCACGTATTATATGTTAAGCTATGGAATAAGGTGTATGTTAAACATCTCACAAAAACGGAAGATTTTTTCGTTTTACCAAATATCAATCAGCCTTACAGAACATCTCTTAGTTTCATTATCATCAATTATTAACTTTATCACACATATTTAACTTAGACACAAAATATCTTTGCATTCTGTTAATTTGACATAGCACACGTGTACGCAAAAAAACATCGAAACATGCGCATTGGATATTTTGCTCTCAAAGGACCTTCATATCTCGCTGGTTTAAGTCAATGAAAAACAATTCATTAGCTCTTTTAGTAATTTTATGATTTCGCTCAAATACTCGGCGGGATTGCTTCGCCTCTTAATCAGTGCAGCTTGATCAGATTTTTTAACATACCTCTTGCATTGAAGTTACTTGGAGTTCTTTTGAGAAACGAGGACCTGTGTGGATCTGCGATGAGATCGCACAATTCAGAACTTAATCAAAGCTGAACGATACTGTCGATCTGCAGTCTTGTTCCTTCGCAGCCTTGTTGCTGAACTGAATTCTTTTCCGCTCACTAACCCTGATAATGCCAAAACATTAAATCACCAGGGGGCACGAAGATAGTAGTGATAGTTATGATGGTAGCTTTATAGATGATAGTGAACTGGACGATGATGATGCTTATTACTTTGATGACCAGGGTAATATAAGACATTTACAGATGGTAATATATTGCAAGCAGAAGAGGAATTACAAAAGAACAATTATAGAGTGAGGCAACCAACAATAAAACCCAGTAATAAACGTATAATCTCCTTATCGTCCGGCACACCAATTAAAGCATTCCGATATCACTTTGATCGAAAAATGTCAAAACAGATCAAGGATAGCAGTTTTCTTACCATGGCGTCCAGGGCACACACAATATTCAACTTCTCACGTACTCCTCCAATGTTCAAAGAGCCGTTGAAGTTGGAATCTCATTGAAAAGTAAGCGTGAGTCGGAGAAAGAAAAGAGAGCTCGACAATTGACATTTAATGCATGTCATAACACTACTTAATACTATAAACATGTTCAGGCCCACCAACGCGTGCAAACTGTGGTAAACCGGGAGGCCGGCAAACCGTGGTAGAATTCAGTCTCGTTGCTATTTTAATTGACGCTTTCATGAACGACAACGAATAAGTGCAATATCAGCAGTGAAAAAAGAGGAGAAACTTACCAAATTGGCTCTGCTTTACGGCAAAGCGAAGTGAAGACTATACTACGCCATGTAATGGTTTCGTGTCAGTCTTCACATTTGATGACGTCATACCCCCAGCAGATCGCTGTTCCATTTGCGGTTTGTATTTTTGGTGGTTTCGGCGAGATGCCTTGGCGGCCGTCACCACCAAAAATACAAGGATGTCGTATAGATCAGCAAATACAAAGATGGCTTAAGGATCAGCTGCAGGATAGCATAGCTAATAAAGGAATGGCATGGCTTTCATGTCACGCCAAGACGATTCGCCACAACATCGAAATATTTCAAGTAATACTACGCAATTTAATGTTCAGATAGAGTGTCTGATGTTTTGCAAAGCTATTCGACCTAACGCGACACTATTTGTGTCTACGCTGTACCATTCTACATTACGCTGAGCCATTTCACGCAACGCTACACCATTTGTGTGTACGCTGTACCATTCGACATTATGCTAAGCCACTTCACGCAACGCTACTCTGTTTGTATGTACGCTGTACCATTCGACATTACGCTAAGCCATTTCACACAACGCTACACTGTTTTTATGTACGCTGTACCATTCGATGTTACCCTGAGCCGTTTAACTCAACGCTACACCGTTTGAGTACTGTATTGCAAATGAGTGCTAAGCTATTCGTAATTGAGCTAGTCCATTTCACAATTTCATGATCCAACTCAACATGGGCTACTAGACCGTTTCTCATTTGGCTAAACTATTCATGTTTAGGGTGTTCTGTTTCACGAAGGAAAACTAGACTGTCTATAATTTGGCCATGCCATTCCTTTATTAGCTTTGCTATCCTGCAGCTGATCCTTACACCATCTTTGTATTTGCTGATCTATTTGACATCCTTGTATTTTTGGTGGTGACGGCCGCCCATATCACAGTCTACTGCCGTTCCTTCAAAAGTAAATACAATACGAGAGGTATGTTAAAATATCTGATCAAGCTGTATTACTTCAAATGCTATACAATCCCGCCGCTCGGCTAAGGCGAAATCACAATGTTTCTGGAATGATTATAGGAATTTTTTTTGGTTGGCTAAAAACAGCTCGACATGAAGGTTTTTTGTGGACAAAGTACCGAATGCGCGTATTTTGCTTATTGCTCGTATTTTCCGTCGCCCCACCCGAGGCTCGGAAAAATATTTCGCAACACGCAAAATATCCGCGCGTATTATGTGTTAAACCATCGAATATAGTGTATGTATCGATGATGCACAGGACACATACATTCAATATATAAAAGATAAAGAAGTGGAAGTCGTTTAACTTATATTCAACATCCTGGCTTTTTTTATTTCAAGTAGCATACATGTAGGCGACATAACTTGGAAATACGTGCATACGATAAATTGTCCACAGAGGGCCGGCGTTTCTAACAGGACACCGAAAGAAATGAAATATTTCATCGCCCTCGGTAGACTTTTTCATTGTGTTTTCAAGGCACTACAAAAAAACTTCTTTATCGAAAGTGAAATAAAACTTTTTCTCTCGTAAATTTACACCGAGTCACACAACGCGTGACACTTTCATGAATTAATCGTTTGCTTTTTTCTCAAGACGCTTATGGTGTGAAGATTTTGAAAATACTTCGGAAAACAGCAGTTCCGAAGAAAGTACTAGTGAAGATGAAACTGACTCTTGAACCTGACTGTTCAATGATCAAAGCGACAGTAAGCACCGTAAATTCTGCCGCAGCAATAAAGTAATGGCTCCTATGCTAAGGGCTCCTGTCCCATACAAACTCTTATATTTTCGCCATGACGCCCTTTACGCAAGATCCCATCCCAAGCTGGAGCTTGGGCTGCCTGTGGTCAGTCAGGAATTTTAAATGTAACTCTTACAGGCAGAAGGCCGCCAAAATATTTAATTTTTAAGCGGCAAGCAAACGGTGAGGGTAAAAGATTTGTACTTCGGGATACATCATGATGATCAGTACCCTGCTTACTCATGATATAACTATTATGGCTCCCAAGTTTACGTTTAAGCCGAATCCCTAGGCTCAAGTACTGTTCAATTTGAATATCCATCATTGCTATTTAGTGGTTAACAAATATTTTTCTGTTTTTCATTGCGCCTACGATTAACGAACAGAAAATTTACAAACAAGAAGGCTGCGAGGGAACAAGGCTACAGACCGGAAGTACCGTTCAGCTTGGATTAAGTTCTGAATTGTGCTATCTAATCGAAAATCGATACACAAGGCTCCTCGTTTTTCAAAAAAACTCCTACTATATACAATATGCTATCTCAGTAAAAATGCGATTCAATCTCGCCGAATGGTTAGGCGGAATCACAAAATAACTATTCAAAATTGAACGGTATCCATTATTGCCTGAAAGAAAGAACTGGTAAATCGGGGGGCATTTTCGATGTCACTTCGTTAAGATTGCTCGAAAGCTTCCGAAAAGTCATAAAAAGATCTAAGTGACAATAGCCATCTAACACCAACGAACAATGAAAGCTTTCCCCAAAAGCAGACATAGAAATCAGCATAAATTAATAACCTGTGTAAACTTAGAAGAGTGTTTTCTAGATAAAATTGACGTTTTGAAGGAGAAAACTATAAAAGCAAATCCTGAGTTTTATTCCTTTCTCACCACGTGAGATTGCTTCGAGAGCTTCCGAAACACGTTATAGTCAACAACTTTACAGAAGACAGTGAACACACCTTAGGGCGTGGCGCGACATGAACCTTTTTAGGAAATGACTGCATTTACTATTTGTGTACTGTATTTAATGGTCCACAGCCGTACTTGAAGTAAGAACAAATTAAGCAATCAAGGAAATAAGAAACCGACAAATGAGCAAAGACAAAAGAAAACAAAAAAAATTGCATATTTATTTCTCTAAAAGACTAAAAATCAGTTGAACTTTCCCTCGAAAACTTATGATGTCGTTTTCCAACACATGTGTGATATTAAAATTTCCCATCATTTGTGCTTTATCATGGTCAAGATGATCGAATTTAATTCTTACTGAATTTTGGAGCATCTTGCATGAAAGCATGTCTTTGATTCGTTTCGTTTCGTCCTTAGGTATCTCGCAACCTTACTTTATGATAGATCTATCGGCAAAATAAACCAAAAGTGGGTTAGATGAACGGAAAGGAATTATTAACGAAAGGCATAGATTAAAATGACCCTTCTTAAATGAATCGAAAAGAAACGTTTGTTCAGAGAACCCATCCGTGGAAATAACTTTCAGCTTTTTTGTGTGTTATTTCTCAGGTATCACAGGCAAAGATCTGCCTAAACCAATGAATTGAGCAAGATTCCACGACGCCCGGTCGTTGGTAAAATGGCCTTACAACCATTTACGAATGAACAATTGAATTATTTCAAGTTTGCTTTCCTCGTGTTAAATGAATTTCCTAAAGCATTACGGCAAACCTTTAAACAGATGTGGAACAACACCTTTGCGTCACTTCCTGGTTTTCAACCCTGGGATGACTCTCATGCTGTACGTAACTTGTTCTTAAGTACTGAAGGTGGAGCATCCAAAGTCCCCACACATCTTTCCTATGATGAATGGGATTGCACAGTCTTGTTCCAGGCCACCATCTACGCGCGCTCCTTTGCTTTGCCAGATAGCAAAGGCCATCACAGGATACTCCATGATTTGTATTTGAGGTCCTGTAAATTACCACGTGGTACTTTCCATTCCTCTGTGGTTAGCTCGACTGGAGATGACGCAGAAACCTTTGCACTGGCGGTCGATCAGCTTCGTTTGTTGAGAAATTCGCTCTTTCATTTAAATAAATCCGAATTGGACAAAATAAAATACGATCGATACGTTCAACTCGCTAAAGATTCGATTAAAGCCCTTGGAGTTAATACTGACCCTATTGATGCTGTTGGAGGTTTGACTGAGTCTGACTTTCCCACCGAGAAAGTTCGCAAGTTAGAAGATGACGTCAAAAAAGAACTTAAAAAAAAAAACGAATTCCTCGAAGAAGAAGTTATTGACGACTTGCAGCTCTTACAGAAATCTCAAAAGGAAGGTACTGAAGAGCTAAAGAAGACAATCGAATCTGCAAATGCCACTACTCAAGGCACGATTGAAACTAAGTTTGCCGAGTTCCAAACTGAAAGCAGACTTGTCAGAGAAGGTGTTAAAGATGAGCTTCATCTTCTACAGGAATCACACAAAGATGATACCGAGAGCCTGAAAGAGGCAATCGCTGCTAGTGAAGAAAGGATGGTTAAGAAGATTAACGAGTTTAGCCAAGAGATGAAAGACCCTCTGAGGGAGCCCCAAAGTCTAGGTAAATCGCAAATTAAAACGCAATATTTTTGTGATTCTGATTTGACTAAAACTTGAACCGCGCTTTTACCGGGCTTCAACGAGCGACGTGGTGATGCTAAGAACCTTTCTTTCCGTGTACTCACGATTTTGTGTCCTTCACGATCGCTGAATAGTCTTGTATGTAATCAACACGCAATGCCCTCTCTTTAAAAAACAGGTTTAGTACGAGGAAAAAAGGGGCTACATGGGAAGCTACTCAAAAAACGACTCTGCTATGTTTAGTCAAAGATTGATTAAACCGTTATGATTGCAGCCACGAAGGAGGGATAAGAACTAATCAACTAAAAGTAGTGTTTCCCTATACAACTCTTTCAAGCTATCACACAGTCGGTCGAGTCTTCTTTATTTGTTCAGTTCACTTCCCTTGTACCACAAAGGATTTTGAGGGCATACTGATTGATCCTGTAAAAGCCGGTTCTTTAATTATATTTTCATTGTCTAAAACCCACTTCTTTCTAGGATTTAAACCACGTTTTTCACGATTGAATCTTCCTCCTCACTTTACTGGCCGTGAAAAAGAATGTGAAGAGATTATTGGCCACTTGACCTCTGATTCGACGCAAATCGTATCTGTGTGGGGGTCACCAGGGTTTGGAAAGACGTCTACTGCAATCGCTGTTGGTCACCAGCTTCAAAAGGTCGGTCTACCTGTCTGCTCTATCTCACTACGCGGGCTTAATTCAAAAGGTGATTTAACGTCAAGGTTACTCAGTCACTTTCGAACTGCTGAATCGAAAAATCAGAGTTTGACAGCTGCCGATGAAATTGGTTTCATCTTTGAAAGACTATCGGATCCATGTTTGTTGATTCTTGATAATGCAGATGACTTGTTTGAATGTGGCGAGCCAGATGTGAAAGAGAAGACTGTTAATTTAATAAAAGACCTTCTCAATCGCAGTGAAAAGGTCAAATTTCTATTAACCACACGGGAGCCAATGGCCTATTTGGATATGTCTCTACAGGGACACAAGTCCACCAGAATAGGAGAACTCGACAAGTTGTCCTCAAGTGCTTTAGTGAAAAAGTTACTTCCAAATGCGAGCTCCTCTGAGGCAATAAAAATCGCGCACATGTGCGGGCAGGTTCCCCTAGCCATATGGTTGCTATGTAAGTTGCTCTCTGACGATTCTGCTCAATGTAGTGCAGCTCTTGATGAATTTATGTTGTCTAAAAGTAGCCTACTTGAGTCGCTGGACAACCCAGAATATACCAGTGATGCAAGGCTTAAAACCCTGTTTGAATCGTCTTTCCTGAGACTGTCTTTGGGGGACCAAGAAGCACTGGTGTCTTTGAGTGTTCTTTCAGAAACATTTGATCTTGAGATTGCTACAGCCGTTTTAGGACTAGAGAGATCCACCGAAACTAAGGAAGTTTTGAGAAGACTACAAGGGAGGGCTCTCATAGATAGATGTTCAAACTCGGACAAATTCTCCATTCACAAACTTTTACAATCCTTTGCAAAAGACAAGGGTGAACGTGAGATGGGAGAAACAATTTTGACTGCGAATACTCGCTTTTTATTATTCTACATTGACTTGGCTGAGAAACTCAATGAGATGTTCCTCACAGGACACTCCATGAAAGCATTGATCAAGTTCTTCGACAATGAAAGAAGCATTGTCAAAAGTTTGATGGATGGTTGTACAAACAACGAGGTAGCGGACAGAGTTTTTCATGTTTTGGAAAAAGCAGAGTTTTTTTTTGATACTGCTTATAACGACGACGAACCTAATTTTGACAAGATTTATCAAACAGCAATAGAGGCAGCTAGTCAGCTTGGACGAAGTGTTCTCCACAGACAACTGCTTCAATCCAAAGCATTTTTCTATATGACTTGGGGAGGAGATGGGCAAACAATGCCTTTGCTGTCGGAAGCCAGAAGACTTCAAAGTTTAACCACTACCTCTTGCCCCGAAGAGAGAGGCAAACATTTGTGCTACTCTGGCATCTATCAGCTTGTGGTAGGAAAGACGGAAGATGGAGTTGAAAGATTAGAAGAAGCTATTTCCCTTCTAAACAAAACTGCTGAGCTCAAAGTTCTGAGACTTATGATACTTCAAATCCTTGCTATTTTCTATGGATGCACAAAAGGCGATTACAAGTTGTCAGCCATGTTCTATGACAGAGCAGTGCAAGAGTGCAAAGAGGCAGAAGACATGCATCTATTAGTAATTCCGGATAATAACGGAGAAGCAAATTATTGGGATGAACACAGAGTACCCTCAAGTACAGAAAATCTTGGAAACGAACCCATTGAAATTGGCGTGATCTATCTTGTGGTCAGCGCAATTAAAAAAATATGTTCAACTGAAATTACAGATTTTTCGATCAAGTTACTGCTCAGAATACTTCGAGGCATCGAGTCAACCAATGAAATGACGAAACCTGGATGGTTTAGATTTCAAGCAATCGCAATAACTATGCTGAGTACGTTTCATAGGTATCAGGAAGGTTTATCACTAACTCAGAAACTAATAACCTACTACCTAAATTCACTGAAGAAGGGGACGACAGGCGAAGAAAACTTTACCTCTAGTCTACAAAAAGAAGCTCTAGCAGAGTGGTATTTGCTACAAGGGAAAAATCAACATTGCCTACGTCACTTCTCAGAAGCTTTCATCTCAAAACAGCATACTCTTACCATCATCTTAGAACTCTTCGGTGAAAAGCATGTAAAGACTGCCGATGTATACTCAGAATTAGGGTTTACAAAATGCAAACAAGGAGAGTATAACTCAGCTGTCGAGTTTTACAAATGCGCACTCGACATCAGAATTCAATTGCTTGGGGAAGAAGATCGGAGGATCGCTGTCAGCTACTTTAACCTGGGGGTTACCCAATATATGCTTAAAGATTACGCCTCAGCTACTAAGTCACACAAGCGAGCACTAAACATCAGACAAAAGGTATTGGGTGAAGATCATGCAAAGACCGCTGGCAGCTACCATCAGCTTGGGCTTACCCAATATATGCTTGGTGATTACAATTTAGCCACTGAGTCACACAGGCAAGCTCTAAGCATCAGAAAAAAGGTATTGGGTGAAGATCATGAGAAGACCGCTGTCAGCTACTTTAACCTGGGGGTTACCCAATATATGCTTAAAGATTACGCCTCAGCCACTGAGTCACACAAGCGAGCACTAAACATCAGACAAAAGATATTGGGTGAAGATCATGAGAAGACCGCTGACAGCTACCATGAGCTTGGGCTCACCCAATATATGCTTGGTGATTACTCCTCAGCCACTGAGTCACACAAGCGAGCACTAAACATCGGACAAAAGGTATTGGGTGAAGATCATGCGAAGACCGCTGACAGCTACCATGAGCTTGGGCTTACCCAATGTATGCTTGGTGATTACACCCTAGCCACTGAGTCAAACAGGCAAGCTCTAAGCATCAGAAAAAAGGTATTGGGTGAAGATCATGAGAAGATCGCTGTCAGCTACTTTAACCTGGGGGTTACCCAATATATGCGTAAGGATTACGACTCAGCCACTGAGTCACACAATCGAGCACTAAACATCAGAAAAAAGGTATTGGGTGAAGATCATGAGAAGACAGCTGACAGCTACCGTCAGCTTGGGCTTAACCAATATATGCTTGTTGATTATACCTCAGCCACCGAGTCACACAAGCGAGCACTAAACATCAGAAAAAAGGTATTGGGTGAAGATCATGAGAACACCGCTGTCAGCTACTTTAACCTTGGGGTTACCCAATATATGCTTAAAGATTACGCCTCAGCCACCGAGTCACACAAGCGAGCACTAAACATCAGAAAAAAGGTATTGGGTGAAGATCATGAGAAGACCGCTGTCAGCTACTTTAACCTGGGGGTTACCCAATATATGCTTAAAGATTACGCCTCAGCTACTAAGTCACACAAGCGAGCACTAAACATCAGAAAAAAGGTATTGGGTGAAGATCATGAGAAGACCGCTGCCAGCTACTTTAACCTTGGGGTTACCCAATATAGGCTTAAAGATTACGCCTCAGCCACTGAGTCACACAAGCGAGCACTAAACATCGGACAAAAGGTATCGGGTGAAGATCATGAGAAGACCGCAGACAGCTACGATCAGCTGGGGGTTACCCAATATGTGCTAAGTGATTACACCTCAGCCACTGAGTCACACAAGCGAGCACTAAACATCAGACAAAAGGTATTGGGTGAAGATCATGAGAAGACCGCTGACAGCTACTATAACCTGGGGGTTACCCAATATAAGCTACAGGATTACACCTCAGCCACTGAGTCACTCAAGCGAGCACTAAACATCAGACAAAAGGTATTGGGTGAAGATCATGAGAAGACCGCAGACAGCTACAATCAGCTGGGGATTACCCAATATATGCTAAGTGATTACACCTCAGCCACTGAGTCACACAAGCGAGCACTAAACATCAGACAAAAGGTATTGGGTGAAGATCATGAGAAGACCGCTGACAGCTACCATCAGCTTGGGCTTACCCAATATATGCTTGGTGATTACACCTCAGCCACTGAGTCACACAAGCGAGCTCTAAGCATCAGACAAAATGTATTGGGTGAAGATCATGAGAAGACCGCTGCCAGCTACTTTAACCTTGGGGTTACCCAATATAGGCTTAAAGATTACGCCTCAGCCACTGAGTCACACAAGCGAGCACTAAACATCGGACAAAAGGTATTGGGTGAAGATCATGAGGACACCGCTGACAGCTACCATCAGCTTGGGCTTACCCAATTTATGCTTGTTGATTATACCTCAGCCACCGAGTCACACAAGCGAGCACTAAACATCAGACAAAAGGTGTTGGGTGAAGATCATGAGAAGACCGCTGACAGCTACCATAGCCTGGGGCTTACCCAATTTATGCTTAGTGATTACACCTCAGCCACTGAGTCACACAAGCGAGCACTAAAGATCAGACAAAAGGTATTGGGTGAAAATCATGAGAACACCGCAGAGAGCAACCATGAGCTTGGGCTTACCCAATATATGTTTGGTGATTACACCTCAGCCACCGAGTCACACAAGCGAGCACTAAACATCAGAAAAAAGGTATTGGGTGCAGATCATGAGAAGACCGCTGTCAGCTACTTTAACCTGGGGGTTACCCAATATATGCTTAAAGATTACGCCTCAGCCACTGAGACACAAGCGAACACTAAACATCAGACAAAAGGTATTGGGGGAAGATCATGAGAAGACCGCTGACAGCTACCATGAGCTTGGGTTTACCCAATGAATGGTTGGTGATTGCACCTCAGCCACTGAGTCACACAAGCGAGCACTAAACATCAGACAAAAGGTATTGGGTGAAGATCATGAGAAGACCGCTGTCAGCTACTTTAACCTTGGGGCTACTCAATATATGCGTAAAGATTACGACTCAGCCACTGAGTCACACAAGCGAGCACTAAACATCGGACAAAAGGTATTAGGTGAAGATCATGAGAACACCGCTGACAGCTACCATCAGCTTGGGCTTACCCAATATATGCTTGTTGATTATACCTCAGCCACCGAGTCACACAAGCGAGCACTAAACATCAGAAAAAAGGTATTGGGTGAAAATCATGAGAAGACCGCTGTCAGCTACTTTAACCTGGGGGTTACCCAATATATGCTTAAAGATTACGCCTCAGCCACTGAGTCACACAAGCGAGCACTAAACATCAGTCAAAAGGTATTGGGTGAAGATCATGAGAACACCGCTGATAGCTGCCATCAGCTTGGACTTACCCAATATATGCTTGTTGATTATACCTCAGCCACCGAGTCACACAAGCGAGCACTAAACATCAGAAAAAAGGTATTGGGTGAAGATCATGAGAAGACCGCTGTCAGCTACTTTAACCTAGGGGCTACCCAATATAGGCTTATTGATTACACCTCAGCCACTGAGTTACCCAACAAGCACTAAACATCAGACAAAAGGTATTGGGTGAAGATCATGAGAACACCGCTCACAGCTATCATTAGCTAGGGATTACCCAATATATGCTTAGAGATTACACATTAGCCACCGAGTAACAAACACAAGCGACCTGTTTTCTTGCTTCATCTAAGTGTAACTCTGTCTCTTGAAATTCCGTTGTAACTTGTTCTGGATCCAATACCGTGAGGTTCTCCCAAATACCCATCATCCCTTGGAGACATCAGGTCCAAACGAACTGCTGGCTCATGAGCAGAAGCTCTAATGTTTGCGGTGCCTGACAAGTCCGAAAGTCTTTGAGGAGGTTCCCGGATTCTGTTGTATCCAGGCCGACTGAAGTTTCGGGCGTTAGCCCTTCGTCAGAGCTCTGACGAAGGGTTAACGCTCGAAACGTCAGCTTTTTTACTCTTTATGGTGGTCAATTTACGTTTTAAACTCAGTTGTTAACAGTAAATTACCTGCTATACTCTCCCACCGACGCAGCACCACAGTTTCTTTAGAAACTTACCCCCTTTATTCATTCGACTCTTTTCTAATTTGATTCCCTTGATTTCGCGGTTTAGGAGTTTTCTTTCCTGTAAAAGTTGTCTGTCACGATTTAGAAGTGTAGTTTCCTAAGGAAAACAATAATAATGATTGGTGCCGGATACCTAAAGTCTAAAATCAACTGAGGCCAAAGCCACTTTTTTAAAAAAATAAACAAAACTGAGATAAAATTTAAGAGAGCTAGAAAACAAGCAATTCTTTCTTCTTAGCGCACATTCAGTTGTAAAACAAAAACCACAGTAACGAAAGATCGATGCAATCCCGGATTACCTGAACCCTTTAAACTCTAAGAGTGACAAGCGTCTAATTTCTCCTTACAATATCACCCCCAATTAACACATTAAGGTCACGAGAAGAAAGAAAATGATCACAAACTAATGAAGCTCTTGATTGGTAAACAAATTTTCCTTGTCTTCTCCTTAGGAAATGTATTGAGAACAGTATGGAGAATATGTATACTGATCTTAGGGTTGAAAGGGTTAAAGACCCAACTGAAAGTCTCTTTAGAAATTTTTGAAATAACTATTTGAAAGACTTGAGGGACATGAAGTGAGTTGATTGTTTGACTCTTTAACAGGAAAATAGTAACGAGGAAATAACTAAATCAGCAACAACAAAAAAATCAAAGTTTTGACACGATAGGACAGGATAGCGCACTGCGTGTATACATTTCGTTCTTATATCTGAGAGTTTGCTACATCTGCTCTTGTTTCTGGATCGACGACCATACTTTGAAGCTTCTCGTGAATGAGCTTTGGACTCCAACTGCAAAGGGAATAAGAGAAAAATAGAAAGTTAGCTGCCTGGGCAAAAACTCTCTGAACATCAAGAGCGAACCTCTCCCTCGTGAAACCTCTATGTGAGGAAGAAATCTGTCGTTCCATTTGAAAAAAGATGCTGGAGCAAGCGTCGTATCTGTTACGATTAATGAAGCGAATCTCCTATTCAAGGGACACTTTTCCCTCTCCCGATAGTGTCCTATCACTGGAGTTTCCACCGTCAGTGAGAAGCCATAAACACCAGCACTACTTTGACAGAAAGGCGAATGGAACAGATTTTGGCACGCACTCACTTTAGACAGAAACAACAACAACAACATGTATTTCCAATACTAAGAACGACAATCACTTCGTGGCTATTGTCGAGTAGTACCTCTTCTCTCGCCTGCCTCTCCTCGTTCAACTGGCCATTCAGTTCACCATTCCTCCGTTTCTGCTTGTTAATCTCTTGTCTAGTAGAGAGAAGGTAAAACAATAAAGTGAACATATGCGGCTAGGGGACGAGTCAGAGTGTTTTCTCCTTTTTTTAATACCACTTCAATGAAAGTTGTTCTACTGGAGACTGTTCTTTGAGAGGCGTTGGTGCTATGTCAGCCCGAATTCTTAGGTGTAATAGTGTACATTGGGGCAAAAACTTTTTGGGTTTTACCCCACTGTGAATCAAATTGAAGGGATTATAACTGTTTGCAAAGCTAAAAAGATGAATTAAAAATTTATACTAACCTTAATCTTTTCTTCGGTCAAAGTTTCAGGAAAAACTTTGTACAGTTTTCAATGTGGCGTTAGTCTTAAACCGAACAAAAATTATTGTAAAGAAAGTATAGGTTGCTGTGGCAACCGAAGCTTCGTCTTTCAAAAAGCGCCGTATAGACAACAGAAGGGAAATCGTTGTAGGAATGTCTATCATTATTTTTGTTCATCTCCTAAAGAATACGCAAGTAACGACAGTAGAATCTTACCTCAACTCATTAACTGTTGCCGAATGTTGCAAATTAACTCTTATAAATTTAACGGAGCTTTCAGTTTAGGTGCAATGAACGAATTTTAAACTCTACTTTGTGCATGGAAGCCGTCCATCAATCCAGGGAGTGTTTCAAAAGGTGATTTGCGAAGCCACCGGTGCCACAACAAAACGGCGTGTCAGGTTCTGCGAGAAAATTGCTGAGCGCACTTTGCAAGTAAACTTAACTATACGTAAGCTTTATTAGACAAGAACTCAAAAAAATGTCTGAAAGCCCTGATTTGAAAGACATCACAGAATAATTTGTTAAATGCTTGTTCTTATGAGCGAAAGTGCTTTTTAGTTCCTAGCTTATCTGCCATTCCCGAAATCTGTTTCTCTGTTTGTAACAATAAGAATGAAAAAGGTTTGTTGACAGTGAGTTTTTGTAATAAACTTGAATCAAATAGCAATTTCTTTTAAATTAATGATGAATTAGCGAAAGGATAAATTTATATATGACTATTTTTAACCGATAACTGGTTGCCAATATGACCTCAAGGAAACAAAGTTTAAATGACAGAGACAGTGTTTTTTTCGATAGTTTTAATATGACCAGCTGAAAAAACTCTTGAGTCACCTCTGTCAAAAGCTAAGGGAGGTTTAAACTTCGCGAGTATCAGTTCTACGCTCGCCACTGATTTAAATGTGAAGATTATTTGGATCTGCCTGCACAAATAAATTCTCTCTTCAGATTTTGATACATCCCATACAGGCATTTCTGAGAATTTCGTATTAGATCAAGACAGCTTGAAGAGGCTCGGTGCCTTTAAAATCTCCTGCTTGATGAGAAGAGACAACCACGATTTTTAAATTTGGAAGGCTGTGCGCGATGATCCAAGCTAGACTGGGAAAAGCCGCACAACCCTGCAAGAAGTGAATTAAAAGAGGTAATGAATAAATAATAAGTAGAATACTTTTTGACTGAATTATGTCGAGCATGACTGGAAAAATATTTGGCTCCCAAAATTTTCAAGACGTAGGGACCCAGCGTGGCAACACCTGAACTTCATGAGCTCGATCCAATTATTTCGCTGTCCGGTTTTGCATGTTGTCGTAGTACTTGGTTAAGTCGTCTGCTCACGTGGTATGAAGTAGGATACTTAGGATATTGTTGGTAGATCGAGAGGGTGGGAGGGTCTAGTGATCCGGAAACCTACCAAACCATCAGAAGTAAATGTGAAGTATTTGAATTTTATTTACCTTTTAATATTTCTTTGCGTATTTAGGCTGTAATTAATGCAACATAAAATTAATTGCCTTTTGGATCAAAGTTAAAACCCCCTCCCTTCTCCCCCCACACCCTGTGGGTGATGCAAGGCGTGTAATGTGAAGAACAAGCAATAACAATGATGAGGAACACGAGGCTTGTGGAGATTGTGGAGTCTAGAAAATGTGCGGTGCGGATAACCACCGAAAGGAAAGGCCTTTATAAAATAATAAAAATAGTACGCGCGCTCTGATTGGCCAAAAAAACCATTTTACATGAGCGTATGTAAACACGGTTTTCGTTCCTCTTTCATGAGTTATTTTATAAAAGAAATGTAAAATGGTTTCCGTGTTTACATAGTCTGATACATAGCCTCGATAAGCTGGAAACCACTCCGCTTCGCGTCGTGGTTTCCTACGCTTATCTCGTGTTCTCCCAACCTCCCGCGTGTTTACATCAGGCTATGTAAACACGGAAACCATTTTACATTTCCTCAGTCTAAAACGGAGGTGTTATAACGAAATAAGGAAACCGGTTTAAAAATTATTTCTTTACTTTGGTTCTGTTATGTTGTTGTCAAATCTCAGTTCTGTCTCAAATCAGTCTCAACTACCATGTTGTCAGTTGAATTCATTTAATTAGCTGAATCACACGCGAATTGTGATTGGTGATGCTGGGGCTTAAATATGTTTCACGGTCTCAAGCATTTTTTGTCAAGCCCTCAAGACTAAATTTAACATCTTTTCTCGCATTGGTTGCAGAAACAGACGCGAATAATCAACCCCCTGGAGTTAAATTTATTTATTGAAACTAATGTAGATTGCAACCGTTTATCTGATTGTTTTCCCTTCCTGGGTTCTGGTTCCATTGTGATAGGATCATGAAATTACTTTACAAGCTGAAATAAATGGTGAAAATAATTGTAACGTTACGCCTTGAAATTTTTGTTCTAGGTAAAGGTACATATAGGGGTATATCCCACAAGCTTTATCGCTGAAGGGTTTTCCGTGGTCGGATGCATCGATGCGTGCAGATTTAAAACATGTTGTCATGGATGAACTTACGGGCGTTAACTTCTAGTTTAACTTTATAATCACCACGGATTGGCCATTTATGCTTGAAATTGAGAAAAAATGCTGCAAAAAAATTGTAATGAAATACTTGGTCCCTTTTGCTGTAGCAGTCTAGATTCCGTGTTTACGCCGGGCAAGCTTCAAGATATGTGTTAACGGCCGTGGATGTGTTGAGTGATAGTTTCAATATTTCAATTTCTCAGAGTTAATTTAGCTCAAATCATTGTTTTTAAAGATAACTAAGGTAATAAATAATTTTTATCAATTCAAGATGGCGGACGGAGATAGTGTCTTTCAGCTTAGCACAGTTGGCACGTTCTTTTGCATTTGGACTTGACATATGTGCTTTGTTGACATCGACTTCTCCAAGACCGATAACGACATTTTCGCGTACTGTCCTCACAGCTCGCTGAAACAAGGAAACAAGGAACAAAACTCGGTTATGATTGAAATGCACATAGTTTTAATGACTGAATACGTGTTTATCTTGTATAGTTAAACACTGAATGCAAAAAAAAAAAAAAAAGATCAATAAGATAAAAAATGCGGTAATTTTTAATCAGAAAGGCTAACTATTTGTCAGAGACGGTTATACCCAGCCCTCCAAATCGGCACTTCGTTCGTCTTTCAATTGACAAGTTCTTTCGCATGCAGAAAACGCAAACCTCCCCTAAAACTTGTGAAAGTACGAAAATCGTGTATGGATAAAGAGCCTGATGCGTTTACACAGCGAAAAAATTCAACTCTTGAGTGCTTTAATCACTTCATCTCTCACTCTTGCTCTTTCAATCCAACTGGTTTGGAAAATTATGATGTAATAGCTGGCAGTTTTATAGAGAAATCGTTGTTTGAAGAAAATCAGAATTTTTTATCAATTTGAAGGTGAATGACTAGAATAGTGCAGTCTCGACATGATAAGAACGAATTCGAATGATGACAAGAAAAATGGTTCGTGTTTTCCTCAGGAAAGTGCTAGCTATTTGAAAATTTTGCTTTTGTGTTGGTTTTACCTTTCTCTCCCCGTCCTTTTACTTTCGCCCTCCGTTTACACTCTGCTTTGTACATAAGGTCCGCCTGCTGAGCATCAATCGGACTTAAACGTCGTCTCTGACCAATGGTTACCTGAAAAAGGGATCGGTAGAGTTCAATTCTACTTTTGCCTTAGCCTGTCAGAATATTTAAGATGACATGTCAATCGGTATTAATCTATCACAAATGGCACAATCTGATTTGCTGTCAACAAGTTAGGGTTAATGTTCAGTTAGGGGAGGGGTGGGTCCGCAATTTCTCAGATATTCACAGTTCTCGCTGTCTATTTCGTGAAATATAGTGAGTATGGCGTTAAGCCCAGAATAAGCAACAGATACGTATGTAATCAAGCAGGTTGATGCAATTCTTTGCATGAACAATTATGCAGTGATAAAGATATTTCGACAAAGGAATCTAGACGACAATAGCAAAACATACCCCGTGTTTTTTAACAATTATCGTTGGCTTTCCATTCTTGCTGAAAGCTTTACTTCTGTAATGCATTACACTTCCATAATCATATGGCGTGAGAAGTGAATCAATTGTCGATCGCCGGTACTTGTGAAAATTTTTCTTTGCTCCTGAAAAGGAAAATCATCGACAGGGACTAAAAAACGGAATGCATTCACTCTTTGCGTGAAAAATACATTGAACAAGTAAAAGAAAATTGGTACAACTATCACTTGGAAATTATCGAAATTCAATGCTTACCTGAGCGAATGTTTTCATACTGTATTTTGATGTAAGAGTCTCTATCAGGTCGAGACTGTTCATGATAAAATCCAATTGCATGCCCTGAAAGAAATAATACTTTATAGACCAAAAGCCATATAATAGGTACTACTAGCTTAAGAATGCCAGCTTGGAAAGAATTGTCACTGTCGCTCTAAAACTTTTCATTGTAACAGCCACTCAGGCGATACAATGAAACCACCCCTACAAGAACCTAGTTTTTTCCCAAATTGAGCAGGATCTTAGTGTTTTGGTAAGTTACTGACAGTTTAGGCCAATTAAAAAATGAACCACAAGCCTGGATTTCGTCCATTAAGTGCAATATCATCATTCATTATTAAAACTGAATACTGATTATCGGAAATAAACACTTTACAACACTGATCAGGCAAAATCATCATTGTAGGGAAAATTAACAAAGTACGTGTAAATGAAGGAAAAATGAAAAAAATATATTAAAGTACATGCATACACACACTTTATTGGGTCTTCCTTAATGGGGCTTTTCAGACACAACTAACCAACTCTACAGTATTTACAATCACAATTTACAATCAGATTTATATTTAACTAAAGATAGAATGTTAAAAATGCTGACAATTACGGATAAATTTAACTGCACTTCTTTAATTAAACTCAGGGAGATTTCCATCTTGTTGTGGTCTTTGGCGGAGTATGACAACGTATTTATCTATTTCATGAACAACTGTTCCTTTGAACCAACATCTTGGTCCGAGAAAGATTTCCTGACGACGGCCAATTCTTCCCACAAATGATGCACACCTGATATATAGAGATGGCGTATTCTTTCAGTGTTTTAAAATTTCAGGGATGTCGTATCAACAGTATGTGCATTTGTATGTTCCTACACAATCTTACGTGAATAGCAGAGAGATTTTCACAACAAATGTAGTGAAGAAGAACAAGAAGAATATACATTTTATATGTGTTCGGAAGCGATAAGGAAAATCTCCTTTAAAAGCAGGCACGTTTAATCGGTAAAAAGACGGTAAAACGGTAACGGCTCAAAATACAAACTCAAAAACAAAAACTTAGTTCTAAAATGCGACTAAAACTGAAAAAACACACGCGCGAGAAATCGTACTCGTAACTTGCTGACGAACTGGTCAAATATAAATGTCTCAGCGCGCGCTAATCGTACGGCACACCAGTCCGGTACTTTCTTCTTGACAATATGTATATTCTTCTTTTTTAGAGTTTATTCATAGAGTAGATATTGTAGATGAAGAACCTCACTTTGTTGGATACTCTGCAATAAATCATTATTATTAATTATTATTAATATTAAATTTTCGTACACTTCATAAGACACATTTGATGACAAAACTGATGTATTTCAGTGTCGGTAAGAAAGCTCTGAAAACAGTGAGTAATAGTGAGAATGTTATGAATATGGAAGCGATCTTTGCAGTAATGAACACTACTTAAGCAGTAGTGAAAGTAAGACTAGAAAAAAATTCAGGCCAGTGCGGGATTTGAACGATACTGGTGCAGCGCTCTACTAACCAAGCTGAATACAAGCCGACCGGGAACTGGTGGTTATGTTGGTTCCAAATGTAATTGACTGTAAATATATGAAAATCACATATATGATATACTGTTATTTACGGAGATGAAAGAATTTCTGGACGTGCAATGATTTTTAGACTTTACGTCTATTTACTATAGTGATTACTACGTATTCCTACTTACCGATTGCTTTACCGAAACAGGACGTAAGCTTTTTCGTTTGTTCTCTTATTAAACCGGATGCAAGTTTTTGCCCTCTATTCCGCCACTGCTGCTTTAATAGCAGTCATAGCTGGAGATTTTCGACCTAAAAGTAATTTTTGGTTGGTGATTAAAACATTTTTACGGACATTGACCAACGAACTGAATTTCCCTTAAAGGAAAGTCAAGTTCTGGTCAATTCATGGTAAGGTTCACAACGTTAACTTTTCATTGAAAAAAAATTCTCGCTCTAATTAGAGATAACTTGATCAGTCGATCAATAAATTAATAGATTGATGCATTAAAGGATCGATTGGTTGATTGATTAACTTATATATTTAAGCTAAGAGCACACTTGGGAGGAGTGACAATTTTCCCTTAAGATTTTGCGTACAATCCGTTTGGGAGGATGTTCTAATAAAGAAAATATTCTATCCAAAATAGTTATTCAACAGAATATGGGGTCCCGAACGCTCAGAGACGAACTGATGTGAACAAATCCGTCATCTCGTATGACATCATGGTTCTCTTACTTTCCTTTCACCTCCTGGTTTAATCATAATGGTGGTCTGGGGATTAGTGAACATTTTCGAGCGATCAGGCAAACTCTCTAAAGAACTTACCAAGGTTTACATCGATTTTATATTTTACGACTCCTCTTGGCCACAATCTTGATCTCGACGTGGCTCTTTTATGACGAGAACCATCAATGTCTAACTCTTCTTCCGCTCTTTCCTGCTGGTCTTTTGAGAGAATCATGTCTCCTTCAAACAGCCTGAAGTTTCTTATGCTTAAGTTCTCTGAAAGAAGAAATTGACGATAATTTGAAATGTCTTGATGCCTAAATCTGCTTATACATGATTCTCGAACACTAAATGTCACTTCCGAGAATCATTTCCAAACAGACGAAAAGATCGCTTCAGTTTCCATCGCTGTGTTAGGTTCAGAGTTTTCAACGTATACAGCTTATAATAAGCGAATACATATTACACGACGAGACTTACTACTTCAGTATAGAACATGTGTTGTATAATTGCGGTTTTTTTGTGCACTGACAATTCGAACAAGCTTTCCTCTTCAAATGATCAGTCTCACCAGTTTTGAATCATCTCTTCTTTCAAGCAAAAAAAAATTATTTTGGATACTGAAATGAGATACGATCAACTTTTCCAGTTCTGTCTAGATCTGAGAATCTCTGTTCAAATTAAAATCGTCCCCTAGTGGCAATGTAACTCAGAATAGATCAGCTTGTTGTAATTAGCTGTCTCTAAAATAGAACAGGCACATTTTCCGACACTAACTTTCATAAGCTGCCTCACATGTTTAAATGATGCGCCTACTCTTACCATCTGGACCGTGTGATACACTAAGCACAGATCTAAACAGCAGAATAACGCAAATCCACCTCATATTTAACTGTCAAGTTAAAAGTTTTATGTTAACACTCAGGAGAGTGTTGAAACAACTACTACTATGAATTCGTGGAAAAGGTTGTGGTTATTCATCGTGGTGAATAACAATAAAAAGCTAAGTTTTTCGTTTGTCTCACGATGTAGTCACGTTTGATGTAGATCGCGACGTTTCGACCTCATCGTCTGAAGAAGACTAGCAGTATGCAGTCGAAACGTCGCGATCTACATCACACGTGACTACATCTTGAGACTAACGAAAAACTTAGCTTTTTTATTACTTTGAATTCCTTCAGCTATATATAGTCTTTTGGAACGTCTAATATCAGGAGTCTAGATTTAAACGGTGGTTAAAACCACTTAGGATTCTAAACTATTTTCGTAATACAATAACGCTTAAAAACTGCAATATATTTATGTGTTTCGTAAAAGATAAGCCGCCTAATGATCGTGCGTCTTCAAAGTAAACAAACAAATTTGGTCTGCACTTGATTAACAATGACTTCAGCGTTGTTACATTCGTTTTGCCCATGTTTTAGCTTCTTTCAAATCCATTACCTGGAATGAAAAATCGCTCACGGCACAACAGATGCGAATTTATAAAGAAACACATGGATATGGCACTAAAATCGGCCTCAGCGCTCTACAAGACTGTCTTTTAGAATTATATGTGAGAAATTTAAAAGGAAAACTGAAATAACTGCAAGCATATTTAATAACAGAAAACTCGATATTGAATACCCTAAGATAGTTATCATACAACAGCTTAAGCTATAAGTATTATACTTTTAAATATCCAAACAAAACTATCTCATAGAATCTCAACTTGGAAAGGAAGTTTAAATGAGTCATCAAGTTCCTTTCAACCATTGGCAGTAAAAGTGTAATTTGTATAAAAGACTACCTATGTATAAGTTAGAGGCGTTTCTTCTACACTTTTTTCATTATGAAGGGTGTCTAGCTTTTAAAATGACGTTAGGAATAAATTCAACTGATAAAAAATAATGACATATAAACAAGCTAATATCATGGAAGAACGCGGGTATGTTGGAATATCCAGTGACCCTTTGAATCGAAATTAACTTCCTGTAGAAAAAAATACTTCATTGACGTAGCTTAGAAGTATTAATATAGAAAAATATCGAGAAAATTTCCAATTAAAACGGTAAGTAATGATGTTCGCTGACTCACTCGCGGTTTTTCAGGTAATTCGCACTAAATATTCACTGCCGACTTAAATATGACGTTATTTCTGGCCTCGAGTTAACAAGCTATTTTGGGTTTGCGGATGTCGTCTCAATATGTTTAAGTTATATATTGTATCTTTAGTTTATGAAATCCTGGAGTGTCAATAAACTTTAATGTTTTTGTCGTTGTTAAGCGATTATATCTTTTTGACTTTTATGCGATGATTCTCGGATAAGTCGACCATTTGCACCTACTTCAATAAAACAATAAAAGCGATGAGGCATTTTAAGATCATTCAAAGTATATATCTGTTGAAGAACAGACCTTTTAAGTTGTATCACGATTATCGTATTTAGGCATATTTAGTCAATCACTTTTTACAGTCACTGTTCCCATGAAAGAAATAGATTTACTAACGTAATTTTAAAAGAAAACTCGTAAGTTTAAGGGAAACATGAAAAAGTGAAAGACCCATATATATTCATACATACTGTGTATCGATTCTTTAAAACCTACCCGCTTGGTTTTAAATCTACTTCCAGGGGAAAGAAAGACTTTTATGACGTAATTTCGCAAAATGAAATTAGAGGGCCAAGAGCATATTTTTTGTTGCTGGAAAACATTGGCCCATTGGTTTAATTTCTCTTGGTCCATATCATTTCCTATACGTGAAAAGAATGTTTGAAATAGCCGTGGATAGGAAGTTATTTGGAATGACGAAGGTCGAGCAGGAAATGATCCACACGTGGGAGCAAGTTAAGAGCCCCCGAAAGTATCACGTTGCCACGTTACGGCTTTGCCAAGCAAATTCTGTTTAATTTGCGGTTTTTCTTTTATCTGCATCTTTCTTTTAATAACTCACCCCTCTTTTTTATTGCTGTTATAATTTTCCGCCTTCTTTATCGTCTTTGAAAATGAAATCAAAATGTGACTGAAAGCCGGCAAACAGAAGACTCACCACTCTTAGCTCTTTTAATTCCACACTTCGATCGTACAATCCAGGTAAACTCTAATACAAGTTGTATCTCTTTAAGTTAAGCCGAAATAGAGGAAGATGACTTAAAACACTACAAAAGTAAACGAAAAGAGAAGGAAAAAAACCTTGCTTAAAGGCATTAAGATAAGCACAGATGGGGTTTTTCACATATCCAGCGTTGCCGCGTTATAAAAGTCCCTTTCCGCGCCAAGCGATGTAGCTACTCTTCGGTTTGTACCAATTTGAAAATTTGGTTCTGTCCCCATCTCCTTGTCTCTTCGTTCGTTACATTCTATTTTAACTACGAAATCCCTATTTTAAATTTAGTAGTAATTCACAACCTGTTATTAAAATGTATCCAATGATCTTCAAGAGCTAGTACATCGCCGAGCGCTTTGCTGAAGCCAAACAATGCAGAATGAACAGAAACTTTACAAGGGCACTGTCGAAGCGTCGAAACTGATAGTTCAATGGAAACGCAGCCGCTAAAACGAATTATTTTCTCAGTAAATAGTCACGTTGCTATTCAAAATTTAAATATTAATCAGCCTCGTCACCTTCGATTATCGTACGAAAAGCTGAGCCATTTGAAGCGTCTTTGAGTGAAATTACTTTTGGCCTGAGGCCGTTAATGGAAGAAAGGGAGTCTTCCTTTCTTCTATTAACGGTCCATTAAGGCTAAATAATATCAAAAATGGGTCTATTAACATTTCATTTAGCATAATTGAGATACTCAGACCGAGATGTAGTTTAGATATGCAAATTTCAGAGCTTTATTCATAACCCTCAGATTCTGTTCGTCTAATGTCAACAATTATTATTCCCGAACACATTGTGTGGTCTGCCTGTGATGCTAGTCACTATGGTTACAACTCGTTCATTACTTATGTAATTCACCTGCTCTGAACAGGATTGAAACTCTGTCATTTCAGAGTTAACCAATCAGATGGATGAGCAAGCCAGACATAGAGGTAGCCCACGAAGCAAGGTCTCTCTATAGTGGAAACGAATTCGGTGCTTAATGATGCGATAAAATTTAAGACTGGAGATAAAATTTTGGAATAACTTAAAAGGACAGTTTATATTGACTGAGGGAAAAAACAGCTGTCGGTTTCAACTGAAGAAGTCAGCGTTAAAAATAGAGGAAACAAAAGGATTATCGTTATGACAACAGCCTCGTAAATCGTGACCTTTGTAGTTTTTTTTATATTCACACGCCGCCAAGGTGCAAAGCAGGTGGTGTGCGCACATCGATTGCGTTGCATTATGGTCGCAAAAGAAAACGTGAGTCACACGGCTGTTTCAAAATAGTTAACTATGCGACGGCTTAATGGCATCTTGTTTTGATCCGAGATGACTTATCGCCTTTCTGAGGTCTTCTTATTTTCAGGCAAGATTCTGATTGATTCGAATTTTTCTTTCAATAAAGGAACGACTCAGGCTTTACGTCCCTCCTTTGCCATTAGTTTCTTTACCATGACGTTTTAATCTGAATTGTTTTGAGCGGTGTAATCTGCGATTACACATCACCACCGAAATAGTAAATATGGCGTCCATCTCCCCTTTGACCTCGAACTAATGCCCCTAAACTACGCGAATTTATCCTCTGAATGATCTCATGCTTACCCATGGGCTAGACAAAGAATACACGATGTATGACAAACTGATAAAACGTCCACGGCCTTCTGTTACGTGCAAGAAAGTCGAACGACGTGCGTGTGATTTCCATCCCGAAAAGTGTACGTCATCAATCTGTCACGGGGAGCTACGTGAAATAGTGAAAGCACGGACAAGACGTTTCTTTCGGTCAACATTTCAATCATGATCTCGGATAATAAACCTTACAATTATATGTTACCATTTGTGCTTTGATCTGATAGTTAAATCGTTTTTCTTGGCCGTGATTAACATGATTTTTGGCGAATATTCCCTCCCCCTTCAAATGGAACGAACTACACGCAATAACACAAGAATGCAAATATTCCCGCACCCCTGAAGAACCGATCGAGAGAGATAGACACCCCTTCCTGAAACAAGGTACAAATCCTATGGGTGTACCCTTCTGAAGCAATAAAAGGCCGGAAAAAGGAACTTCGGAACATATCTTCAGTCAACTTAGAACTGCGTTGCTTAATCCAAGTTTAGGTTAGAACTCGGTTTGATTAGTACATTCAGATGGCTAACTTTGGTCTCTCTGAACATCAACAAATATTGGAAAAAATTTGCCGAATTTGTGGAGGGCGATTGGAGAAGGCAAAAGATAAGTATGAGAACAGTTTTCTTTGCGCTGATAAGACGGAGATTATTTTCACAGCCTTTGGTGTCAAAGTTCGTAAAGATGACCTTGGCATGTGCCCTCCTAAGTTCTGCCACAAGTGTTACAAGCTTGCTTTAAGAGGAGGCACACGCCTTGCAATCAATGCGTGGCCTCCACACAAACGCACTGGAAACTGTAAGATCTGCAGTTTCTTTAAAGATCAACAGAAACCTGGTAAGGAACAAGTGGAAATGGTGGAAGGAATGTCTGGCACTTTAAGCTTACAACCTGACCCAACCTCACTCTCATTCTCTGAGGAGGTAAAGAATCTACAAAGGTTTAGAGGATCAGAACCTCTTTACCCAGAAGAGTTTGTTGAAAACATCAAGCATGAGTATATGTGCCCAATTTGCAAAAAGGTACTTGATCAACCAGTCCAGACAAAATGTCGAACTCCACACATATTTTGTGCTAGTTGTTTATCATTTTCTTTTGAAATGTGTGGATCCCTTTGCCCAGTGTGCCGAACTGTCATTGTAATGAGTTGAGTTGGACTAATGAGTTCATTGAGCCAGCCCCTTTTGTTCTTCGCACCATACTTTCAGAGTAAGGTTTTTGATGTCCTACCTGTAAACACACAGTAAAACTTCACCAACTACCTCAGTATCAAGAATGTTGCATTCAAAGCCCTACAACAGCACCCACACACATCTTAACCCTTCACAAAGATCAGTTCCAGTGAAACCATCCCTCCTTGCCCCAGTGAAACCCATACCTGCAGCAGAGGAAAAGGGACCAGCACCAGTAAATGTACCATCACTACAAGCAGAACCTACAACCACCACTGATACAAATACAACCTGCAAACAACAACTGACAGTCGATCAACTACTAACCAGCCCAAAGGAAGCTTATACATCCCTAAAGGAGGAAGTTGGATTGTTCATCGTTAGACAGTTCCTTCCATAGTCTCAAGATGGGGCAACCATTCTCCTCAAAACAGGTGGCCAGGTAATAAAATATTTTTTTAAGTTAAAAATTAAGACATTCATTTTCAAAACAAAAGATAACAATTCATTTTCAGCCCTTAGAATTAGTGAAAAGGACCAGGGCAAGGAAAACAACTGATGAGGTAACAAGGAAAACTGCTAGACATAGATCAAAGGTAGTAGCAGAGACCAGGACAGCTGTCAGTGGTGGTGCAGCTGGTACCCAGTTGAAAGATGAACTGCGTGCAATGGGCAGACTGGAGAGGGAGGCACTGATGAAGGAGGCCTTGGGAAAGGAATTTAAAATCAACATTCCAAGAGGTGACATCCTGGCAATGAAAGCAGACCTTGGCGAGACATGGTACAAAGTTAGAAAGCTTAGGAGGTAAGAAAAACATGAACAAAAAAAATCATTAAAAACCCCAAAGATTTTTCAAAGACATTAGATATCAGTAACAGTAACTGTTTTGAGTTTGTATCCAAATCTGCCAACTGCCTGAATACCCTCAATCTGCTTACAAAATTATGATAACTATTATGTCTCTACAGATGGTTTGATCAATGGGGACTATCCTCAGAGAGTGAAATAAGCCAACGAAAGCAAGTTCAGTCTATCACTGATCCTACCAACTTGGTTTGTGAAATGGTCCCATTTGAATTAAAAAAACCAGGTTACCATTCAGAGGTCAGGGAAGCACAGTTTGGTTATGTTACAGACCTGAACCAATTCATACATCTTTATCTGAGTGAAAATGAAAAGTATGATAATAAAGAAATAGTTAAAAAAAGTAAATGCAATCACTAGATAAATGATTGAAATTAAACAAAGTTAGCTGTTGCCTATTGCTGTGAATTATAGTCTAATTAGAATTGGTTATCATTTTAGGAATGGAAGGCTGACATGGAACAATGCAATCCCAGAACATGAAGTGCACATAAAACTTGGAGGAGATGCTGGTGGTGGGTCATTTAAAATGGCCTTCCAGATTGCTAACCTGAGGCATTCGAATTCTAAAACCAACACAGTGGTCTTTGCAATGTTCCATGCAAAAGATAGTTGGGCTAATTTAAAGAACAAGTAAACACCTTGAAAGATGCAACCTGGGCATAAGTAAAATAAAAAATGTACCACACTTTTAGTTAGTCAGGAGAATAGAGACTTGAAATAGCATAATATTAATTAAAATTTTTATTTTTGTTTTGCCCATTTCTAGAGGTAAAAAGAAAGTGGTTTTCCTGTTTGGTGACTATGAGTTCCTATGCAAGCTATTTGGAATAGTTGGTGCCTCAGGTATGATCTAGACAATAATTCACCTATACAAATAATTATGATTTAGCAATTCAATAAAAGAATATAAATGTAGCCTTTACTCTACATAACTATTTCTGTGAAACAGGTTTCCACCATGAGAATTGTATTTGCAGGCAAATATCCATGTCTTTGATGCAAGATAAATCATGAAGTAATGCAAGTCTCTTGCCATAAACGTGGGCATGCTGAAAAACGAAGTCTTGAAAACATTCAAGTGGATTATGATAAGTTTGAAGCGGATGGCTCTGTTACAAGTCAACAGAAGTTTTATCGCAATGTGATTAACAAGAAACTGCTGGACATTGAATTGGACAAAGATACAAGAGTTTATTTTATTGCTTTGAAGAGGGACTTACAGAACACCAAACTAAATGGTTGTCTATTTCAGGTCTGTGTTCCTGGACTTCACATTAGCTTGGGTGTGTTTAAGAAACTGTTTGACAAACTAGAGAACCAGTGCTTTGAGCTGGACAAAAAAATTCAAATGGTGCTAGCAGGAGACAGTGAAGAGAATGATGAAAAAATCCAGGCATTCAGAGCTGCCCAACTACATACCAGACAAGCACAACAATTTAATGAAAAAGCCAATTATTTACAGAAGTTGCTGAATTAACAAACTCTGCATGCTAATGTTAATATCATGCCTGCCTACTTTACACTACTACAGGAGGAGATAGACAAACTCCTTGGAAATGCAAAGGAGGAGGTAACAATAATATATTTGTGCTTTCCAGTATCATAGCTGTACAATCCTCCAAATTCATTTTACATGTTTCAAACCCATCTTAATTTTTTAGTTAAAGAAGTTATGATTTTATTTTATAGATCATTTATTTGTAATATTACACTGGCTCAAATTATCAAATTATAGCAACTAAGCAGTAAGTCAAATAACCCAGAAATAGTATTATCTCAACATTATAGGAAAAGCTTGTAGATGAACAAATGGAATTGGCTGTCTTTGAGAAAGCCAATGGACCAGTATCAGTTCATTTGGATGAGGTTCTCAAGAAAATGAATGTCGAGAGACAAGCTTATCATGGAAAATCATTCATTGGTAACCATGTACACACTTGCTGCAAGGTAACACAAATTCTACCCTTAGAGTAGGAATTTGTTGAGTCACAAAATTTCATTGAATTGTTGCATTTGTTTTTTTGGTAGGAAGACAACATCATTAAACTATGCAGTGCTGTGCTGACAAAAAACAGAGGAGCTGTGTCCTTCCCTCCTTTCTCAAGCAAGAGAAATTAGCGTGAAATTTGAACAAGTTTTTAAGTTATTTGTTGCTTGCCACTTTGTCTATGACAGTGCAGACTATCTCAATGATGGCAAGATTGATAAGCTAGGTAACTGAAAGAAAAAACCTGACTTTCATGGAAAAACATGAATACAGTAATAAGATCATGTCTTAAGTCCACCTTTTCTTGTTTTCTTGTTGCAGAGAAAGACATCACAAATTTTCTTCAGTTCCTTTAGGAAAAATTCCCAGACATGACAATCACACCAAAGCTGCATATGCTAGAAGAACATGTTTGCCCTTTTCTTCGACAATGGCACATGGTCCTTGGATTCTACGGTGAACAAGGGATTGAAGGAATACACTCTGAATTCAATACCCAGTCCCAGCATTTTGACCATGTGAAGAAAAAGGACACGAGATTGCGTCAAATCCTTGTCAACCACCACACTGCCACGAGTACGGTACTAGCAGGGAAAGCTCCCAAACATAAAGAAAGAAATTTAAAACGAAAAGCGAACGAGTAAAACTCTTTCCTTTTCAATAGCAATGTATCGGTTCGTTGACTAAGAACGAGTACTATGTGTGTAAATATAGTGTTATTTATTTGCTCAACTTCTAATTTAGACGAATAAAAGTGTTACCACAATCTTTGGAACCAAAACTAAACCTTTTCAGTCGTTTACAGACTGTTTCGCTTGAAATTCAGTACCTCCAAGATTCAAAATGGAGTCGCATAACGGCCGATCTTAACATATTAAAAGCGCCTCGAATGGAGTCTCAAACAATTCGGATTAAAACACTTACCTCTGTCAGTTGTTCAGTAAGGTTTCAAGTCTTCTCTTTTGACTCTTGCTTTGCTGGAAAAAATTCGAGCCTTTTCCAAATTGAAATCAAAGTTTTCAGTTAATTTAATAGGGTGTGCTTGTTAGACTCCACCATAGCAACGTGTTTTCGTCGAACACAGGCAAAATTTGACCGATCTTACTCAAATTTTCGACGGCAAGTGCCTCTTACATGAGTAAGCATCCGCCATGCTAAATTTCACTCGCACACATTAAATACGCAGCAAGATTTCATTGGCTAAACTATATCTTTGCCCAAAGGGTTGCCATGGACGCTAGATTTATGCAAATGCATAATTTTGTATGAACCAGAGAAGTAATAATTAACTCGATGTTTCCTGTAGACCGCATGCGCGTACTAAATTTCCACCGCGAAACAACCGTGAGTCATTCGCATCATGATGCGGTCGAGTGAACATCTCTTGTGCTGGCGAGAATAGCGTGATAACGTGAATGTGATGAGGATTCAAAGTCTGCTTCCGTTCCTTCAAAAGTAAATACATTACGAGAGGTATGTTAAAATATCTGATCAAGCTGTATTACTTTAAATGCTATACAATCCCGCCGCTCGGCTAAGGCGGAATCACAATGTTTCTGGAATGATTCGAGGAATTGTTTTTCGTTGGCTTAGAGTAGCTCGATATGAGGGCCTTTTACGGAAAAAGTTATGAATTATGCACGTATTCAAAAGCAAGGCAAAAGCAAAGATGTTGTGTATAAACCAAAGCTAATCATGAAAATAGAGGATTTTAGGTAAAGCTGAAACTATCGAACACTGCGCTTTTTCCAACACATGTGCGATACGTACACCTTATTCGATGATTAAACATAAAATGCGAGCGGATATTTTGCTCATCGCTCGTATTTTTCGTCGCCCCATCCGAGGCTCGGAAAAATATTTCGCAACTCGCAAAATATCCGCGCGTATTATGTGTTAAACCATCGAATATAGTGTATGTATCGATGATGCACAGGGCGCATGTATGTTCAATGTAGAAAAGACGAAGAAGTGGAAGACTTTTAACTGATATTCAGCATCCTGGCTTTTTTATTTATTTCAATTAGCATACATGTAGGCAACATAACATGGAAATACTTGCATTCGATAAATTGTCCATAAAAGGCCGGCATTTCTAACAGGACACCGAAAGAAATGAAATATTTAATTGTCCTCGGTAGACTGTTTCATTGTGTTTTAAATGCACTACAAAAAAACTTCTTTATCGAAACTGAAATAAAACTGATATGTAATGGGGTGATTTACCTTAACTGAGGGAAAGAACCGCTTTCGGTTTCAACTTATGTAGTCAGAGTTAAAAATAGAGAAAACAAAAGTAGTATTGCTATGGTGACAGCCTCGTGACCTCATCGTTTGAGGCAGCCACAGGCTGCCCAACTGGCTCCAGCTTTGAGAATGGCCAAAATATTAGAGTTTTCTGGGAATATTTAAGATCGCTCTTAGGAGGTAAGCTGTGAAAGTTTGAAAGAAATCAACGAAATCGAATGACCTCTCGTGGACAGACTCTTAATTTTTTTTCGATAATCATGACGCTACCAGGGTTAATGAGCGGAGAGAATTAAATAGCAAGGTACAAAGGAACAAGAACACTGATCAACAGAAACCATTCAGCTTGGATTAAATTCTAAATTGTGCGTGGCTGAGCGAAACGATAGAACCTTCCGGCCGCTTTTTCCACCACAAGTGTTATACGTACACCTTATTCGATGGTTGAATACAAAATACGAGAGGACATTTTGCTTATTGCTCGTATTTTTCGTCGCCCCATCCGAGGCTCGGAAAAATATTTCGCAATTCGCAAAATATCCGCGCGTATTATGTGTTAAACTATCGAATATAGTTTATGTATCGATGATGGACAGGGCACATACATTCAATATATAAAAGATGAAGAAGTTGAAGACGTTTAACTTATACTCAACATCCTGGCTTTTTTTTTTATTTCAATTAGCATACATGTAGGCAACATAACATGGAAATACTTGCATTCGATAAATTGTCCACAAAAGGCCGGCCTTTCTTACAGGACACCGAAAGAAATGAAATATTTAATTGTCCTCGGTAGACTTTTTCATTGTGTTTTAAAGGTACTACAAAAAACTTCTTTATCGAAACTGAAATAAAACTGATTATGTAAGTAGGGAGTTTACCTTAACCGCTTTCGGTTTCAATTTACATAGTCAGAAAACAAAAGGAGTGTTGCTAGAGCGACAGCCGCAGGGCCCAGGTGCAATAAGCAAATATTTGTTCCAAACGAAATTTGAAGGCGAAAAAATAGCACAAATGCGTTGATTAACATGTTATTTAATTTTATTGAGATATTCAGACCGAGATGAAATTTAGATATGCAATTTTAAGAGCTTTATTCAAAACCCTAGTAGGTTTTGTTCGTCTCTTGTCAAAAAGTATTGACCACGAACACATAGTGTGGTCTGCCTGTGTGAGGAGAAAACGTAGAAATGGATAACTCGCTATAATGTCTCTGATGGCTTCGTTTCAGCAAAGTAAGTGTTCAGACAACAAGCGATGCACTGTAGAAGTAAGGTGAGATACTTTTCACTGAGAATTTGACTATAATTTTACTCCCTAAGAGCGGTTGTAAGTATTCCCGTAACACGTTAGAGTCAATAACTTTACAGAAGACAGTGAACACACCTTAGGGCGTGGCGCGACATGAACCTTTGTAGGAAATGACTGCATTTACTATTTGTGTATTGTATTTAATGGTCCACAGCCGCACTTGAAGTAAGAACAAATTAAGTAATCAAGGAAATAAGAAACCGACAAATTAGCAAAGACAAAAGAAAACAAAAAAAAATTGCCATATTTATTTCATTAAAAGACTAAAAATCAGCAGGTGAACTTTCCCTCGAAAACTTATGATGTCATTTTCAAAGTGGCTTAGTTGAACGGAAAGAAATTATTAACGAAAGGCATAGATTAAAAATGACCCTTCTTAAATGAATCGAAAAGAAAGTTTGTTCAGAGAAACCATCCGTGGAAATAACTTTCAGCTTTTTTTTATTGCTGTTTTTTGTGTGTGTGTTATTTCTCAGGTTTTACAGGCAAAGATCTGCCTAAACCAATGAATTGAGCAAGATTCCGCGACACCCGGTTGTTGGTAAAATGGCCTTACAACCATTTACGAATGAACAATTGAATTATCTCAAGTTTGCTTTCCTCGTGACAAATGAAATTCCTAAAGCGTTACGGAAAACTTTTGAACAGATGTGGAACAACATCGTTGCGTCGCGTTCTGGTTTTCAGCCCTGGGATGATTCTAATGCTGTACGTAACCTGTTCTTAAGTACCGAAGGTGGAGCATCCAAAGTCCCCACACATCTTTCCTATAATGAATGGGATTGCACAGACTTATTCCAGGCCACCATCTATGCGCGGTCCTTTACTTTGCGAGATAGCACAGGCCATCACAAGATACTCCATGATTTGTATTTGAGGTCATGTAAATTACCACGTGGTACTTTCCATTCCTCTGTAGTTAGCTCGACTGGAGATGACGCAGAAACCTTTGCACTGGCGATCGATCAGCTTCGTTTATTGAGAAATTCGCTCTTTCATTTAAATAAATCCGAATTGGAGAAAATAAAATACGATCGATACGTTCAACTCGCTAAAGAAGCGATTAAAGCCCTTGGAGTTAATACCGACCCTATTGATGCTGTTGGAAGTTTGACTGAGTCTGACTTTCCCACCGAGAAAGTTCGCAAGTTAGAAGATGACGTCAGAAAAGAGCTTCAAAAAAGAAACGAATTCCTCAAAGAAGAAGTTATTGATGACTTGCATCTCTCACAGAAATCTCAAAAGGAAGGTACTGAAGAGCTAAAGAAGACAATCGAATCTGCAAATGCCACTACTCAAGACACGATTGAAACTAAGTTTGCCGAGCTTCAAATTGAAAGCAGACTTGTCAGAGAAGATGTTAAAGATGAACTTCATCTTCATAAAGACGACACTGAGAACCTGAAAGAGGCAATCACTAAGAATATTGATGGGCTTAAGCAAGAGATGAAAGACCTTCTGAAGGAGTCGCAAAGTCCAGGTAAAAAGAAAATTAAAATGAAATTTTTGTGATTCTGATTCGACCACAGCTTGAACCGCGAATTCATCGGGTTTCACCGAAAGATCTGGTGATGCTGAGTATCTTTCTTCTCGCGCTAGTCACGTTTTGGTTTCCTTCACAGTAGGTGTATAGTCTTGTATGTAATCGACACACAATGCGTTCTCTCTGAAAAAACAAATAAGTGACGAGGCAAAAAGAGGCTGCATGGAAAATTACCTAAAATTTAATTCCTCAATATTTTATGTTTCTCTAAGGTAGAAATACTGCTACACCTAATTTATTTGATTCAATGCGCGAACGAACGACGAACGAACGAACGAGGATGACCTGTGAAAATACACCTTCTGGATTTCATAATCATTTTCATATTTTCTACTGAATAACGCATTTGTACCAGAGGTTCATTTATTAAATATATACAAAGAGAACAAACATAGCAGCCTCGACTCTGTTATGTTTTGTCAAAGATTGATTTAACCTTTGTGATTGCAGCCACGAAGGAGGGATAAGAAGTACTTAACTAAAAGTAGTGCTTCCCTATACACCTCTTTTGTGCTATCACCACCTTCCGTTATAGAATAGAGCTCAGTCGAGTCTTCTCTACTTGTGCGGTTCACTTCCCTTGTACCACAAAGGATTTAGAGTGCATACTGATTGATCTTGTGAAAACCGCTTCTTTAATCACGTTTTAATTGTCTAAGACTTACTTTCTTTTTAGGAGTTAAACAGCGATTTCCACGATTGAATCTTCCTCCTCACTTTATTGGCCGTGAAAAAGAATGTGAAGAGATAATTGGTCACGTGACTTCTGATTCGACCCAAATCGTAACAGTCTGGGGGTCACCAGGGTTTGGAAAGACGTCTACTGCAATCGCTGTGGGTCACCAGCTTCAAAAGGACGGTCAACCTGTTTGCTTTATCTCACTACGCGAGCTTAATTCAAAAGATGATTTAACTTCAAAGTTACTCAGCCACTTTCGAACTGCTGATTCGAAAAATCAGAGTTTGACACCTGCCGATGAAATTGGTTTCATTTTTGAAAGACAATCGGATCCATGTTTTTTAGTTCTTGATAATGCAGATGATTTGTTTGAATGTGGCGAGCCAGATGTGAAAGAGACGACTGTTAATTTGATAAAAGACCTTCTCAATCGCAGTGAAAAGGTCAAATTTATTTTAACCACACGGGAGCCAATGGCCTATTTGGATATGTCTCTACAGGGACACAAGTCCATCAGAATTAGAGAACTCGACAAGTCGTCCTCCAATGCTTTAGTGAAAAAGTTACTGCCAAAGGTGAGCTCTGCTGACGCAACAAAAATCGTGCACATGTGCGGGCAGATGCCCTTAGCCATATGGTTATTGTGTAAGTTGCTCTCTGACGATTCCGTCCAGTGTAGTGCAGATCTTGATGAATTGATGCTGTCTAAAAGAAGCCTACTTGAGTCGCTGGACAACCCAGAATATACCAGTAATGCAAGGCTTAAAACCCTATTTGAATCGTCTTTCCAGAGACTGTCTTCGCAGGACCAAGAAGCACTGGTGTCTTTGAGTGTTCTCTCAGAGACATTTGATCTTAAGATTGCAACAGCTGTTTTAGGACTAGAGAGATCCACCGAAACTAAAGAAATTCTGCGAAGACTGCAAGGGAGGGCTCTTCTAGATAGATGTCCAAATTCGGATAAATTCTACATTCACAAACTTTTACAATCGTTCGCAAAATACAAAGGTGAAAGGGAGATGGAAGAAACAATTTTGATTGCGAACACTCGCTTTTTATTATTCTACATTGACTTGGCTGAGAAACTCAATGAGATGTTCCTGACGGGACACTCCATGAAAGCATTGATCGAGTTCTTCGACAATGAAAGAAGCATTGTAAAAAGTTTGATGGATGGTTGTACAAACGACAAGGTAGCGGACAGAGTTTTGCAAGTTTTGGCGAAAGCAGAGTTTTTTCTTGCCACTGTTTTTTACGACAACGAACTTAATTTTGACAACATTTTTCAATCAGCAGTAAAGGCAGCTAGTCAGCTTGGACGAAGTGATCTCCACAGACAACTACTTCAATCCAAAGCGTTTGGCTATATGACTCGGGGCGGAGGTGGGAAAACAATGCTGTTGCTTTCGGAGGCCAGAAGACTTCAAAGTTTGACCACTACCATTTGTCCAGAAGAGAGAGGCAAACACTTGTGCTACTGTGGCATCTATCAACTTGTGGTAGGACAGACGCAAGATGGAGTTGAAAGTTTAAAATATGCCATTCCCCCTCTGAATAAAACTGCTGAGCACACAGTTCTGAGACTTATTATACTTCAAATCCTTGCCATTTTCTATCGATGCACAAATTACGAGATGTCAGCCATGTTCTACGACAGAGCAGTGCAAGAATGCAGAGATGCAGAAGACATGCATTTATTGGTAATTCCGGATAATAATGGAGAAGCTAATTATTGGGATGAACACAGAGTACCCTCAAGTACAGAAAATCTTGGAAACGAACCCATTGAAATTGCAGTGATCTATCTTGTGGGCAGAGTAATTGCAAAAATATCTTCAACTGAAATTACAGATTTTTCAATCAAGTTACTGCTCAGACTGCTTCAAGGCATCGAATCAACCAATGAAATGACGAAACCTGGCTGGTTTAAATTTCAAGCAAACAGCATTAGTATGCTGAGAATTTTTCATAAGTATCAGGAAGGTTTATCGCTAACTCATAAACTAATAACCTACCACCTAAGTTCACTGCAAGAGGGGACGGCAGGCGAAGAAAACACGAGCTCAAGTCTACACAAAGAAGCTCTAGCGGAGTGTTATTTGCTAAAAGGAAAAATTCAACATTGCCTACGTCACTTCTCAGAAGCATTCACTTCAAAACAGCATGCTCTTACCATCATCTTAGAACTCTTCGGTGAAGGGCATGTGAAGACTGCCGATATATACTCGGAATTAGGGTTTACAAAATACGAACAAGGAGATTTTAATTCAGCCGCCAAGTCCCACGGGCGTGCACTCGACATCAGAATTCAGTTGCTTGGGAAAGAACACCAGAGAACCGCTGGCAGCTATCGTGAACTGGGAGTTACCCAATATATGCTAGGAGATTACACCTCAGCCGCAGAGTCACTTAATCAAGCACTAAACATCAGACAAAAAATATTGGGTGAAGATCATGAGGAGACCGCTGACAGTTACAATATGCTGGGGAAAACCCAATATGTGCTTACAGATTACAATTCAGCCACTGTGTCACACAAGCGAGCACTAAACATCAGACGAAAGATATTGGGTGAAGATCATCGGAAGACCGCCGACAGTTACCATGAGCTGGGAGTTACCCAATATGTGCTGAGAGATTATACCTCAGCCACTGATTTACTCAAGCGAGCACTAAAGATTAGAGAGAAGGTATTGGTTGAAGATCACGAGAAGACCGCAGACAGCCACCATAACCTGGGGGTTGCCCAGTATATACTTAGAGATTACATCTCAGCCACTGAGTCACTCAAGCGAGCACTAAAGATCAGACAAAAGGTATTGGGTGAAGATCATGAGAAGACCGCTGACAGCTACCTTTACCTGGGGGCTACCCAATATATGCTTGGAGATTACATATCAGCCACTGAGTCACTCAAGCGAGCACTAAAGATCAGACAAAAGATATTGGGTGAAGATCATGAGAAGACCGCTGACAGCTACCATGTGCTCGGGAAAACACAATATACGCTTAGAGATTACACCTCAGCCGCTGAGTCACACAAGCGAGCATTTAAAATCAGACGAATGATATTGGGTGAAGATCATCGGAAGACCGCTGACAGTTACCATGAGCTGGGGAAAACCCAATATGTGCTTACAGATTACAATTCAGCCACTGTGTCACACAAGCGAGCACTAAACATCAGACGAAAGATATTGGGTGAAGATCATCGGAAGACCGCCGACAGTTACCATGAGCTGGGGGTTACCCAATATATGCTTAGAGATTATACCTCAGCCACTGATTTACTCAAGCGAGCACTAAAGATTAGAGAGAAGGTATTGGTTGAAGATCACGAGAAGACCGCAGACAGCCACCATAACCTGGGGGTTGCCCAGTATATACTTAGAGATTACATCTCAGCCACTGAGTCACTCAAGCGAGCACTAAAGATCAGACAAAAGGTATTGGGTGAAGATCATGAGAGGACCGCTAACAGCTACCTTTACCTGGGGGCTACCCAATATATGCTTGGAGATTACATCTTAGCGGCCCAGTCCCTCAAGCGAACAGTTCTCAAGCAGTTTAACGCCCGGATATTATCTTGGTTTGAGACCCCAGAGAAGTCTTTTTTTAAATTCCTTTATTGAAAGATATTGGGTGAAGATCATGAGAAGACCGCTGACAGCTACCATGTGCTCGGGAAAACACAATATACGCTTAGAGATTACACCTCAGCCGCTGAGTCACACAAGCAAGCATTTAAAATCAGACGAATGATATTGGGTGAAGATCATCGGAAGACCGCTGACAGTTACCATGAGCTGGGGAAAACCCAATATGTGCTTACAGATTACAATTCAGCCACTGTGTCACACAAGCGAGCACTAAACATCAGACGAAAGATATTGGGTGAAGATCATCGGAAGACCGCCGACAGTTACCATGAGCTGGGAGTTACCCAGTTATTTATCTTTTTATTTAGTTTTTTCATTGAACAGTACAACTTACAATATTTACAGTACAACTTGCTGAAAGTTATACTTCTTACAAGACTTACTATACATACTACAGTACTACTCATACTACTTACTATTGCATACAGTATTAACATTACTGGGATGCCGGGCCATTTGGCGCGTAATCTGGTACGGAGTCTGTGACCAAAAATGGCGGCCTTATCGAGTTAGTGACGCTCGGAGACTGGTAACGAAATTAACCACGGAATAAATCGCTCCCTAGTGTTTCTGTGATACCACGAAGGAAAAAGTGGTTTCAAAATTCGATGAGAGGTGAGTTTCTCCTTTATTTTGATACCAAATTCGACGTGTATTTCGTTAATTTTTGCCTCATTTAGGACCTCTTGTTTCGTGCTATTTCAAGAGCACTGTACAGAGATGAAATTTAGAGGAATTTCGAGCTGTATACAATTTTTTAAGTGTAAAGAGATGAATTAGAAAACAACCTAGATCGCTTATTCATTCTACCCCCTACAATCGTATGTTTTTTGTTTTCTGGATTTCTTGCGGAGATTTCAGTTATGTCGCATCAAAAAAATGGTTCTCGCATTTAGTGACTTAAATATAGTTGCGAAATTGTGTCATGGATAACATGTGCAGCTGTTTGGAATATATTGCACACTACACAGTTAAAAACTTTGCTAACTGAATTTTCTCTGACATTCACTTTATAGGTAAATATTCCACTAAGGCCCGTAGTGGAATTGATTTCGATGGTATGATTCGTGCGATTCGTACTACATTTAAGGGCGACAACTTCCAAAATAGATTCGCCTTCGAAGATGAAGTAAAGAATTCACTACAAATGCTGTTTGAAAGGTCATCCCAAGTTATCGTGTAAAGTGCCATAATTTGCACTTTCACAAGTGAGTGAATATGCCGCCAAAGCCTAACCGTTTCAACGTTGGGCTTTACAATAAAATCAAAAAACAGGAAAAACATGCTGCACTCCGGGAGAATGCAAAACTTATGAACTGTGTAGCTGAGGAAAACAGAAAATTGAAGTCAACCCAGATGAAGCTGAAAAGGCTTCAGGAAAAGGTTTGCAATAATTATAAAAGTCACTGATTTTCATTTTGCATCTTGATTTATCTGTTTATTTGTTGATTTATATTTGTTTATATTTTTGTCTATTTTACTTTTCATACACACCCATAAGCTGAAAAGGCTTCAGGCAAAGGTCTGCAACCTTTATTATTGGGTCACTGATATTCATTTTGTATCTTGATTTATCTGTTTATTTATTGATTTATATTTGTTTAAATTTTTGTTTATTATTTTGTTTATTTTAATTTTCATGCACACCCATATTTGTTGCAGAAAGCTGAAAAGGCTTCGGGGTAAGGTTTGCAACCATTATATTTATGGAGTCACTGATATTTATTTTGTATCTTGATTTATCTGTTTATTTGTTGATTTATTTTTGTTGGTTTATTTTACTATTACTGACATCCATTGAAAGTTTGCTGTAAACTTTTTCTGCAAAAATAACTACAAAGCTCAGATATTTGTGTTTCCTGCTCATCAGACTGATCTTGCAGACACGCATTATCAAGAACTTTTGGCAGGGCTGAATACACCTGGAAAAGAAAACAGTGAGGTGTGTGGGTATTATATCTTTGTCTTTATAGTAATATATAATGTAGTTTATATTAGGCGAAGAGTCACCTAGTGGATGTCCTTAATAAACCATTATTATTATTATTATTATTATTCAACTTTAATTTTTGCATTATCATGATGCTGGCATAATGATCCTGCCATTTCTTAAAAATTGATACAGTTTATTCCATTTCAGAGTGGAAATTGTAATTCCCTGAGGAGGCAGATGAATCCAACCATACTTCAGAATGGGAAGTCAAACTAGACTCAAAGGACAGCGGTTAAACGTCGTCAAGAGACTTTCAATGCTGCCATGGTCATCCATGGAGGAACAGAAGAAAACCCACGTCCTGCCATTGAGGGCATGTTTGATACCTTGTGTAAAAGGAGTAAGCTTGATGACATGACCAATCTTGTTTCAAGCAATGCTAAGCTCCAGGCAAGGGTAGCATCAGCCCATTGCTCTCGTGAAATAAGATCATTTAAAACTTCAGATGAAAATGTTCTTCAAAGTGTTGCCGCATATTATAGTGGGGGAGTGATGGGAAAGAGAAAGTATAAGTCAGTTAGACTTGTTTTGGCAACAAAGGCTAGTACAAAAAAGCAAGGGGGTAGAGAAGCATTGTGCTTTATGCATAAAAGTCGAATTCCCAAACTATTACCATATGATAAGTTGGTGAGTTATATCAAGCAAGTAGATACTGGAAAGGTTTACTCAGTCGAAGAAGAGTTTTCTAATTATATTCAGGCTGATGAGGTTGTGCATGGCTGTTTCAGGGATTTAAGGGATTATCTCCCTCGGCTTGCAAAGTTTTATTTGCAGACCAAACAAAAATCAAATGAGGCCCTTAAGTGGTTTTCAGAGACAGAAGGGACATTTTTGGTAGCGTTTGGTGGGGATGGGTGTCCCTTTGGAAAAAACAAGAGTGCTTGCTCCTTTCTTGTCAGTTTTCTTAATGTTGGAAAGCAAGTTGCATCCAGCTCTGACAACTTTTTAGTTTTTGGTGCAAATTGTGAGTCTGAGTCCTGTGGGGTGGTACAAAATTATGTCAAATATGCATGCAAGCAAATGAAAGACCTTGAAGGTAAGGTTTTTGCTATTGATGGTTTTCATGTCACATTCAAATTTCAAGAGCTGCCAAATGACATGAAAATGCTAGCCACCCTAGCAGGGGAGCTGCCTAATTCTGCTTGTTACTTTTCCTCTTTTGCAACAGTTAGTACTGACGACTACAGGGACCTAGAGGGCCAATTTGTTATTGGTAATTGCAAATGGAAAGTGTGGGACTGTAATGAAAGGGTGAAAATTGCAGAGTCAGTTGCAAAATTCAAAGAATCTTTGCCAAAACATCTAAGTGATAAGAATTTCCGTTCAAAGGTGACCAGTTTTATTGCTTCAAAGAAAAGCAGGCAAGAATTTTTGCCTCTTGTAGGTAAATATATTGATTTAGCACATGTAGAGCCACTGCATCTCAAAAACAATGCATGGCAACATTACTTTAAGGGTGTACTTAAAGAGGCAATTTCCAAGTCTAAACTCCCTGACACCTGCAAGACTTTTGCTGATGTGCCTGTTGACAGCTGTTTTCACCGAGTAACAACAGCTCTTCGGTATGAGCTGAAGTGTTCCTGCCTTGCTAGGAAAGTAGTTAAATGGTACGGGGAAACTCAGGGGAAGGGTGCTGAGCTTCAATATAGATTTACTGGAAAGGAGTCTCGAATGTTCTGTCAAAACTTCATGAGGGTAATTAAACCACTGAGATGTGAAGATGACTCTGGGAAGCAAAGGCTTGTAGTTCTTGTTTATGCATATATTGGAGTAAGGCTGCGTGACTCTGTTTCTTTGTTTAGTCGGATTGATATTACAGCTGAGCAGCTCTTGGAGCTTAGAGTAAAATGTCAACAGTACTTCAGGGCAAATGCTTTGCTTCTCCCCTCTATGGTCACACCAACTGTTTGGACACTCGAGCATGTCGTCCCTCAGCATGCGGAACACCTGTTCCAGAAATATCACCAGGGATTAGGTACAGTGACAATGGAGGGGAGAGAAGCAAAGCATATTGTCCTCAAGAAACTGTCAGAGAACAGTTCGTCTAAAAACCAATGGTTTGATATCTTTCAGCATGAGTTTGTAATGCTCATTTGGTTACCAGAAAATGGGTTTACCACATGTCAATACAAAGCTAGTAAAGCTGTTTACATTCCAAAGAGGGATAATAGCTATTGTTCTTGTGGGTTACAGAAGGCCCAAATTGAAGATGACAAGTGTTGCATTTGTGGTGACAGGCTGACAAATCTTATTGAACAAAGCATCCAAATGGGGAAATGTCACCCACAGCTAAGACTGTGATGCTAAAGTTTCCTTACTTTAAACCTACAGTATTATGGCAACTGTCAGTGTGTGTTTACTGATTAACACTTGACATTAATACTAGCAATACAATCAAAGATGTGAGCAGATACTTTGAACATTTGTAATTTGCTTATCAATAGCATACATTTCTGTTACATTAACAATGTTACATTAAAGTTTGTTACCTTATACTTTGAACAACATTTGTAATTTGCTTATCAATAGCATACATTTACGGTTCCTTTCTGGTTTTCTTAAGCAATGTGCTTGTAATTTCAAAAAGAATAAAAAAATTGATATAAGCTTGTCTGTTTCTTTAATTACAATGCAGGTACTGTTAGCAGGGTTTCTTAATCATATGCAACTAGCTCAAACATTTAACCCAACAACTCCTACTTTTCATGAATTTTAAAACAAATGTACCATATTTGAATAACCAAGCACTAGAAAATTGTGGTTGCTTGCATGCTGCTGCCTGCAAGATTCATCTATTTATTACATCCATTTTGAAATCACTGAGATCCTTGCAATATTATCTGATTGGCTCTCGGCAGTGCCATTTTTTTCAACAAAATTATTGCACTATTTTTGCTCTTAATTGTGTCTTTTTTTTTCAGCCAATGAGAAAGGAAGCCATTATTATGCAATAAAGTGGAAATTGAAGTTTGTGTCAGGCAGTTTTGTTCCGTAATCATACTTGTGATTTCAAATAAACATGCACTGCATGCTCGTTCAATTTTGAAATCACAGGTATGACTTCATACCACATTGCACTCCACTCAGTTCAATTACCATTATACTGACTCATTTGAAAAGCAAACAAAAAACTGAATACATTATTTAAAATGTATAAATGCAAATGCACCTTCAATGTAAACCCAAGGGGAGGGGAAGATTGCCAGTGCTTTCGTGACATTGTCTGAAACCATCAGTCTGTCAAAGAGCAACCTGGCTGGTAAAAAGTAGTTAATTTTTCCATTCTTAAATAATCATCATGGTCAGCATGTCTTCAAATAGCATTTTGACCACCCTTGAGTTTAACATTGGCAGGTCAGGAGGTGCACATCCTCGGTGACCGAGGAGCAGTTAGTCTGGGCAAAACAAAGTAAACCAGGCAGAAATCATAGGGACAAAATTTTTTTTCTGAAACATCCGAAATGATTTCCCAACTGGTGTAAATTAAAATTAAATTATGGCAGATAAAACAAACGCTGTGTAAGAAGACATGAAAGCGACTGTGAAGTAACTGTACGCCGATTGGGCAGAATAATACAAAGGATTTTTTTCTGCTCAATCAGGAGCCAGCATTCGCAGAGCCATTTGGAGACTAACAGCCCCTAGGTCTCCGAGGATGGCAGGTACATAGTAAGGGTCCTTTGGTGTTACATTGTCCTAATAAAAATAAAACTAACTCTCAAAAGTAAAACCAAACTCGTTTGTGAAAGTGTAATGACACTTCACAATAACTTTTGATGACCTTCGCTCATACTGGATGGAAAAAGGCTTCTCCTTGTTGCAAATAACATTTGCGCTCCCTCTCCTCTTTCCTTGAAAATTTCGGTTGAAGAATTCTGACAATGTTTCTCGAGTTATTTGCCCCAAGCCTGTCAAGTCTCTGGTTAGACGTTTCTTCTCTGTATACTGAATGGAAATGTTTTTTCTTGTTTCTGTACAGGACACGCCAAATGCACTTCGGGCTTTCTGTACAGCTTTTAAAATTAAACGGAACACTTGACTGGGGATATCTCGTTTGAACTCTATCGTCCAAGCATTATGCGCTTTCATTCGTGGGCTCAACCTCTTTTTTATGACAGAAATCCAATGCTGTATTTCCTCCAACAGGATTTCTCGTGCTGGGATTTTGGAGCAAAGAGCCTCTTGAATTGACCCGGTATCGACCCGATGCTTCTCAACCAGAATTTTTAGTGAATTATTTACTTCATCTTCGAAGGCGAATCTATTTTGGAAGTTTTCGTCCTTAAATGTAGTGCGAATCGCACAAATCATATTATCGAAATCGTCCGCCATATTGAAATGTTCTTTAGTTGACAACCGCAGGACACAACGTGTTTTCGCGGGCTCAAAAATGCGCATTTCTTGAGCCAAATGGCCCGGCGTTTCAAAGAACTTACCATACTAACAATGCTTACTCTACTTACAATTACATACAATACCGACGTTACGTGCAAAACTCGCGTTACAGCTTACAGAAACTTGCTCGACTGAATTAAAAATGCTTACACTGCTAACAATACTGACATTAACAATTACAAAGAATACTGGCATTACAATCGTCATGTATCTAACCTTTTTTTTTAACAATATTTTTAGTACTACATTACTTGCTTTACGGATAGTAGCAATATGTTTTTTTTATCGGTACATATATAACAGATAATTAAATAGATAAATCGATAAACAAACAGATGAATAAATAGATATCTAAATATATGATAAAATAAGTATAGAGTATGTTTATGCACCGGCAGTAATCAGCATCGATTGCACAGAAGCAGAGCAGTAAACCAAATCTGAGGATGGAAGCACAAGCATGTGTTAGGGGAGAAGGGGCAGCGCTATAAAGAGAGAGAGAGAGAAAAAGAAACCGATATGAATTTTCATAGAGTTGTTTTTGGAAATAGAATATCTAAAAAGTTCTGGTATTTTTTTTTTACGTTTTCGGTTTCACTCGTTTCTTGTACAGCGCACTTTGATTTAAAGAAATCGAGAAAGCCGTTCAGCTCAGGAACGTATTTTTTTTTGCAGAGCCAGATGTAATATCTGGCTACGAGGAAACAGAAGTCTATTTGCCATGTAGATTTGGCCAAATCTGATTTAAGTCCTATCGCTACAGCTGTTTCTAAGACATAATTATCAGATACAAGTTGACGGTGTTTAAGTTTTAGTAGTAGTGTGTCCCAAAAATATTTCGTTTTCGAGCAGCTTCACAAGAGTTGGTGGAGACTCTCGGGATCTTCATAGCGTAAAGAACATTTAAGGCTTTCCTTTACTTCTATTCCAGCTAGAAAATTACTTGTTGGTAACCTTCTATGGAAGAGTTTAAATTGAAAGTTACGTGCTTTTTGTACAATTACAGGCTAACATATAGACCTTACTCCAGTTTATGTCGTTTTGTTCTGCTCCAAGATCGGCTGTCCATCTCTGCTGACTTTTGGTCGGGGCACGCTTCTTCGCTACTCTAAGTTTTTATAAACGAGTAGGCAAGGTTTTTGAGACTTTCTTACTTTGCGAGACTTTCAAAGTAAATTTAATATCGTAGAACACCTTTTAGTATACATCGGAATTATAACTTCCACGCTAAAATCTCCGTGGAATACATGCAGAAGGAATTTCAATACAAACATCAGTAACAATTATGAAAGCTTTCCGACAACGTTAATAAAGTTGTTCACGTCATTTTTGAAATTTTTTAACTTTGCCAATACCATGGTCGTGTCCTACTTTTAAAAAGAAGGGCTGTTCACCAATTTTAATAAGCGAGTTGTGCCAAATACGTTTATCTAGAAATTGACTTGCGGAGGTTATGCACCCTTAAAATTGATTTCTAACCATAATAACAACATTTCTTTTATGAATTTTCCCGAGTTTTTAAAGATTTTTTCTAGTGTCTTTTCAATGTGTTAAGATTCCCCGTGAAAGGGAAGCTGCAACAAACCTCCCTAATTCTACATCACAGAAAAGTTACCACTTACCTTGGTTGGCTGTATCTAGGTATTTTGTGATCGACGTGGCTTTTAAAGCCTTGCTAAAAGATTGAATATCAATCATTTTAGATCACCTTTGCATTGTCATTAATCATTACACTTCCTGTAATTTTGTAACCTTTTCCATTCCAAACAAGTGAATTGAAGAGTGTGTTTATTTCATAGATGATTTTCTCACTAAAGCATTGGGGCGTCATAATGTAAAAGAGTTTTAAAGACTTTTTAAAAGCGTGATTTTTCTTAGGAGAGTTAGTCTGCGATATTTCCAGTTACATAGGAAATTTGGGATTTTTTCTAATGTTTAAGTGTAGGTCAAATAATAGTAGCTTCGGGATCGGTTGATAGCCATGTGCCCAAGCTTCAAAAAGCGGCAAAAGGATATATATGGGTAAGTAAAGCCAGAGTTAGTCCAAAAGCCATTCTGGGGCAATGTGTTTTCCGTTGACAAATAACTTCTTCGAATGCACTTCGCTGAAATAGGCCGTGTAACCTCTCTGTCGAACTTCTTTTAGTTTCTTCATTTATTCTTTCGGTGGATTGTACAGTTCCTTCGGGATGTCGTCAAAAACATAAAAGTTTTGGTCAGCTTTGAGGTGTTTACGTGCTTTCTCTACGACGAGCTCTCTGTCGGAGTATTCCGGAGAAATCCCGTTATAATTGGGAGAGATCTTAGCAGGCTGAGCCTCCCCAAACGGTGCATTCGCTGAAACCCGATTTTATCGCGGGGGCGATCAATTTTAAGGTGCCCCTCCAATGTTTTGTAAAAAAAAATCTTGGTGTTTTCTGGGTCACCATGCTGATGGGATGATCCTTCTTCCTTATTATTTCTACCGTATGATAAGTCAGTATTTTCTGGCAAGCCAAATGATTTAAGATTTTCTCGTCTGAAGTAGGTCTCCATGTACATGAGCTGCTTCTTCAATGCATTAATGTCATTCTCAAGTTTCCTGTCGCTACGTTGTAGTTCGCGTATAACATCTTCATTTTATTGCATGCATCCTCGAGTTCCTCCACATTCTTCTTCAGCTTCTCCGTCTTGTCCTTTAAGCTTTTGACCTTTGTGTCTAGTCTACCCACTTCAGTGTTAATAATTTTTGCATGCATCTCATCGCGTTGTGACTCGATAATATCCAGCTTTCCAAGTTTCTTCAAAATTTCTTCGATTTTACCGCCCAGGTTTTCCGCCATGTTGAGAGCCTCCAATATATCGCAACACTCGGCTCTTGATCGTTTTTCGTCCGGAGAATTATTGAACTCTGTTAATGATGACGATGAAAATGCTGGTCTATTCTTTCACTTTGGAGGCATGAGAATTCTTCAATTAAGGATTTAAAGCGACCAAAGAAGAGGAGCTCAGCGAAAAGTGTTCACTTCGCCGCCATGCCAGTCCCAGTCTTCTATTTTAGCAGAGTTTCAAGATATTAATCGAAGACTCAATCGAAGACTAGAAACATGGCGGCCGTGTTTCGATTAGAGCTTTTACGTTTTGAGGAAGTTAAGATCGAGCTCTAGC